ATTTTTGCACAAATGTGCTGTTTGTATTTATTTCCCAGCATACTAATTCTGCTGCGGATCGTCACCATAGCAACGACTTCTAGTGTACTTCCTAACAAGCCTGGTGTGACAAACCAGCAGTGCAACAGGACTGGAAAGAACAATGACAAAGAGACCACAATACTGTATGTTTGTCCGTGTGGTGGAGGCCTCGCCCCCAATCGAGAGGGAAAATTCAGACTGGGGAGAATACCAGAAATTTAATCGCCCCCAGAACTTCCATTAACAAGCCAGGAACATGCCTCTGTGGCTGTGGAATCATGACGACCTCTCATATGTCTCCTTCTCTATATGTCTCTCCTTTTTTATTTGCTATCTATTCATGCCACACTTTTGTTATTTTAAATCTGCTCACTAAGCCTTAGAGTCTTAGAGCCTCTGTTGTTTGTTGTGACTCTAACTATAAGTTGATGTATGTGTGTGAGCATCTGTGTGTGTGTGTGTGTGTGTGTATTTGCAAGTTAAAAAAGGTTATGTGAGAAAGTGACACCTGACACTTTATCTTGAACTTAAGTCTTAATGGCACATCCACGTAACCTGTGTGCATGTGTGTGTGTGTAAGACAGTGTGTTGAGGTAAGATGATACATCTCGTTCACAATGTTCTTGTGTTTGAAACGTCTCTTCCTTTCTTTCTCCCTGAAACACCTGAGTATCAAACCTCACTGCTGTTAAATGCAGGCGTCCATCGTGCCCTCACCAAAATGACCGAACAAGAAAGATAACATAAAATTGTCTGCAGTGTTGCCAATAATTCAAGTGAGACGACTATAGGACACAAGGAAGACATTGGAACAATGATGAGGAACTTTCTGAGGAGACTTTGCGAGCTAGTAAGTTGGTCCACTGCCATTTACAATGCTGCCGCTCTTACTCTTTCTTAAGGGGAGCGCCTTGAGAAACTCTCGCCTTTACGCTGCCCGTAACAACCATGAACCACGAAGGGGATAGAACCCAACCTGCTGTATGTATGTCTAGATTCTGTGGGAAGACAGGAGCACGTAAGCACACAGATGCAGAGGTACAGAGTCTGTGGGTCATTGGTCTCCCCTCGAATCTTTCTGCTGTGTCACAAATCTAGAGGAAAGCAAACATGAGAGGAATGCAGCAGAAAAGGAGACCTGGCGGATGAGTGGTCATAAAACCGAGGGAAAATACAGGCAGAGTCATGTAACCTCGGGAACACGCACACAAATACACAGAAACCTCTAGTGGGGATATTTATTGAGCGAATGTGCAAGTGATTATAGATGGAAAAATGATTTCTACCACGTCCATGTACATGCCTGTATATGCGTGTGTGTAGAGTCTGTGTTGTGGGTCCTCTGAGGCCTTAGACTGTAGCTGCAGAAGGTTCCTTTTGCTTTCACAGAGAGCAGAGAAGAGGAAAAACACAACATAAAATTGGACATCTGATTCCACTGCTATATTTAGAATATTAAACCACAAAAGAAATTTTACTGTTGTACTCTGACGCTGTGGCCCCCCCAACTCTAACAAAATTGAGTAAACAAAAACCGCCTGGCTACTTTCTTCAATTTGGAGTGTTCTCATGATCGAAGATTTTGAACTACATTTCCCATAACTTTGTGGTTTTGAGAGACGTAAACAGGAAGTCTAATGTTGCCAAAGAGTGGGTTAGCTGTGGAGTTTGGTTGTTGTTGGCACAAACTGCACAGAAAGATGGAAAACACGTCTCAACCTCTTCACCTTACTTTTGACGTCATTTGAGTTTGCGTATAGTAAAAGTGATTCTTCTGTGAAACTGCTGCACCAAGACACATGCTCCACCAATCAAAAGTCAGTCTCAGATGTCAATCATGATGTTTCTGTTTTTATAGCATTAAATAACCAATTAAAAACAAAACTTAAAAGCACTTGGACGAACATCAATGTGATAAGAACTACCTGAAATGAGTTCATCTTTGAGAAAAATCTATTTGACTTTTTAGTTTGGCCTATGTCCTGTCCACTAACATGGAGAAGGTGGGATTTATGATCTATAGCCAGTCACCAGGGGGCAATCAAGGTGCTTTGGCATCACTTTTGGAGAGCTGTCATGTCGTCCATGTTTATATATATAGTCTATATGGTTATTAGCTTTGGGCTGCTATTTGAGACACTACTACATGTACGAGGAATTAGCCATTGGTAGATCTCCATAGGTGTACAGACAAATGTTTTTGGATCACTTTGAGACTGAGGAAAACTTAAAAACATGATAATACTCAGGCATGTTCTGGTGTCTTTTCCATCTGTGATCTCACTGTGAAATTCTGAACATTTGCTGATGATGGACATCGGAGTAAATTACACCTCTTTGAAATGCAAGTCTCTCTGGATGTAAAAATATGTGTGTCATGTCTGAGTGGTTTAAATTTGAATGCAGAATGAAACCAGCTGCTAAGAGATTTAAAAAGTACCTGCCTCTATGAGTGGTGTATTAGCATACATCTAACCTCCCCCTGTGTCAGAACACCCACATGCACCTGTGCCTTTCACCATCAATATCTTTGTCTCACATCTCTCACTCCACACCCCCCTTTCATAGCAACATTCAACATTCAGATACAATCTCCTCAAAGGGAAACGGAGTGGCAATGAAAGCAGGACAAAATAAAACAGTATGAACTCAGTTGCACAGGCAATGCCAAGCATCCATCATCAAACCTTCCAACAAACCTTCAAGGTTGCTATTGGCTGCTCTCAAGTCCTGGATTCTTTCTGTCCAAGAGTCTGAGCTCTGTCTCTCTTTCCTTTAGTGTTTTTCTCCTATCCCTCCCTTAAAAAATAAATTATGAGAAGAAATGTGCAGCTCTCAGCATTTTCTTAAAGATCAGAAAAATAAAAATGAAACATCTCCCTGCTAACTGTGCAAACCTTACAGCTGTGAAAGTCTGCCTTTGTTCTTTTTAGCTTCGATTCTTCATTCAGTGATTATCTGATCAGTCTGTTTTCCCCTCTGCTTATGTTGTGGTAATTACTCAGATATCATATGCTGGATCATCTTACAGTCACAGGAGCTGCTTTCAGACGAGCGCTGAAGCCCAGATAATCTCCTGAAATTATCCACAGGGGCTGTATGTGAGAACGCAAATCACAGAGTCAGAGGCCGAGAGTTTTTCCTGCCGGCCCCCTCGTAAAAACTCTGGATAATGTCCAGGTGGGCCCATGAGAGAATACAGCCGGATGTTGAGAGATTTCACCAGGAGCAAAAGGCCATGATTAATAACAATCGAAAAAAATCTCAGGATGAAAAAGAGGAGACGTACAAGTAGAAGGTGCCGATGAAGATGTCAACTTGGAAAGACGAGATTCAGGAGTTTTGGGCCAACGCCAGAGTTTATATACATCATGTCCTGTCTCCTGTACGCTCTACCCAGATGCCACCTCTTGCCTGAATGTTCTGGATATTTTCCTGTTGTTGTGAACATATCTGACCTGGACAATCTCCAGCTCCATTCTTCATATGTAAAAAGTAATCTCCAGAAAGGTTTTTACCCCAATCTGAAATTTTCCGGAGTTCATGTTGGAAAGCAGCTCATGGGACAGCTTCCTTTGAGATGGGACAGAGACATTCAAACCTTTACAGGCTCAGAAGGTAACCGAGGAAGGTTTCAAAGCTTCAAACAAAAGGCAATTTACGTTATTTTTTCCTCTTCAATTTCATTTCGCAATGCTAATGCCGTTTGGCTCATCCTGCTAAACCTTCTTTCCATTCTTTCATTAGAGTCATTAAAGTCTGAGAGAGAAACAAGAGACCTCGAAGCATTTCCTGAGCTTCTGCTGGGCCAGCCTGACCTCAGCGAGCACCGGGAATCCTCCTCCCCACGGGTCAAAGAAACAAATCCACACACATTTCAGTTTGAACTGTCACTGCTCTTGTAGCAACAGTGCCGCTCACATATTGGCAGGACAAACCTAAGTGAAAACACATGTTTGTGTAAAATGCAGAAAGCAGAGATGGAGCGGCCGCCTCTCGCTGATAGGGCGCATGCGAAACTGAAGACGATCGGATCTTTGCTTTGTTTCCAGGAGAGACGCAGTGGACGGAACCACTTCCTGTTTTTTCATGTCGAGGAGGAAAAACCAAACTGGGGATTTAAAAACGAATGACAACAAAAGTGTATCAAATGCCCATTGAGCATTATGCAGCCAAAAGTGTCAATAAGAACAAATAAACACAGGAAGATGTGAAAAAAACATCCCCTCTTGAGAAGTATTTCACAATAACTCCATTAAAACAAAAGCTTTCAGAAAACTGTATTTATCAATTTATTATTTCTTTTTATGATTTCTGTGGATTTCCTGTTCTGCAGAGTCACAGCGTTGTCCAGCTTCCTAACCTCTGACTGGTTGTGCCCTTTGACCCGTCTTGCCTTCTCTGGCCTCCAACACAACATCTGGAGCACTTTCAGCCAGCCATGTTCTTCCCTCGAGACACTCACACACACACACACACACACACACACACACACACA